GCTTGGGTCCAGGCAGAGCCTCACCCCCGAACCACCCTGCGACCCACTCCCACCCAACTGTGCTAAAAACCAACGCCCCCGCCCCTTCCCCAGCCCGGCCAGGGCACCTACCTTGTTCGGCCCCGAATCCTGTAAAAAAAAAGGAGAGACTGTTTAAGTGAGCTGCCCCCTTCCTCAGCACCCACCACAGCTCCCCAGCCTGCAAGCAGAGAGCAGCGGGCACAGGTCCCCGTGGAGATGGCAGCCTCACCAGCCGAGCTCATCCCAGCCCTGGGGACAGCCTGGGATGGATCTGCCCATCCCTCAGAGCCGGGATGCTCCAGCCCTCGGAGCTGAGCCCGTTCCCCAGCGGTGCTGCAACTCGCCTGCGCTCCAGCTACCTACCATTTCGGCCAGGGCAGAGATGACTTTTCCCAGCGTGGTCAAGGACTTGTTGATGTTTGCTCCTTCCTAGTGGAGAGAGGAAAAGTCCAGATGCTCAGGCTCCATTTCAGAGCAGCGCTAAAGCCCAGTACAGCAGGAGGATGGGGAAGTCCCAGTATGGGATGGGCAAAGAGCAGCTGGTCTTATTGGGTAACCAGCACCTCCCAGCTGGGACTCATGGATCCCAGTGGAACTGTCACTGGGCAGCTTTCAACCAAACCCCCATCAAGGATTTTGGCAGTGTAGTGGGCAAGGAACCAGGCAAGGAAAGGAAGATGTCACAGCTGGGGATGAGGGGGCAGGACGTGGTGTCCCTCCTGGCGCCAGTTCTCACCTTTAGTCTTGTGCCCTTCGCACCAGTGGAGTCGGCTCGCTCACTCCCTGCCAAGTCCACCAAGCTGATTTTGCTGACCTGCAGGCAAAGATGAGGCTCTCAGCCCCAGCAGGCACAGCAAACCGGGCCCCAGCACGGAGCCGAGGAGGGGGCAAAGATTTCTTGAAGGCAGAGGTAGGCTCTGCGGTGTCATCCTTGCCAGGATTTGGCCAGGAGCAGGGCTAACATCCTTGTAGGCAGGGCTGGAGGGCACCAGCTGCCAAATGTCCTGTCCAGGGGCCAGTCCCTCGAGGGACCGTGAGCCCAGCGTGTGCCTGGGACTTATCTCCATCCTGCTCCAACCCTCCATCGGATGCACCATCTCATCCCAAGTCCTGTACACAAAGCCCTTCCCGGGGCGCTGCGGGTTGCCCTAACTCTCTCAGGCTCTGCTCTCACCTTCTCAGTGGTGATGTCTGTCTCGGCGTCATGCCGCTTCTGCGTGAAGATGATGTTGAACACAGCGTGAGAGCGGCTGCTGGTCTCGTTCATGTTGGTGGCAGCCACCGTGCTGCAGGGAGAGGAGGAGAGGGAGGTGTGACACTCTGCAGGGGACACCGGAGTGGATGGCGATGGGGTCAGGGCTCATTTCAGGACAGGGTACATGATGGCAAGGAAAGGTTGGAGGACAGGAGAGGAATCTGGGAGGAGACGTGCAAAAGTCCAGGCTTTCTCCTGCTGGCTCAAGGGCATTTTGAGAGCAGGAAGGAGGTGAGGTGAAAATAAGTGGGGGGTACCCAGTGCTCAGACAGGAGGGGACTGCCACCTCCAGAGCAGCCAGACTGGCAAAGCAAGGAAGTTAAGCAGGACCTTCTGGAGATGTCTGCAGGCTCTCCAAATCCTGGCCATCTCCCGCTTCCCCAACTCACCGGGCCTTGTTCCCAGAGTCCATGAGGTCCTGGATGTCGTTGTAGGAGGTCACAGCCAGCTTGGAAAGGTCCTCAACGTATGGACCCATAAGGGGATGCTCCCTCACTCGCAGGTTCCCCTTGTTCTTGGGGTTCAGGAGGTCCCTCACGCGCTCGCAGTATATCTCCATGTAGCTCACCTACAGCGGAGGGCACGGGCAGGGCTGGCGGCCAGCAGTACGTGGACGCTCAGCACGTAGGCAG